AATTAAATATGTGTGGGCATTAAAAAATCAATTTGTGCGAGCATATAGACTAATCATTTTATTAATCTTACATAATGTACTATATATGTGTGTTCACAGTAACTCCTTACAATCACCCTTTTCCACTAATAAATAACATAAAAATTAGTTCATCCGTCAAATAAATAATACATTCACACTTCATACATTTGGTAATTCATGACATTTGAATGATACGCATTGCCTTTTGTCATTATTCATTTATATACAGGTGACATTTGGATTGCGAGGGTGAGGGGACGTTTGCGAAAAAAAACTCTTTTTTTTTTTTTTTTTTTGAAAAGTCGGTTAACGTAATTGTGAGAACTTTGGATTGACGTCCGTTCTTGGAAATCTATGGTGTTTCGTCCTGATAATAAGATATTATAGGAGAACATATATATCGGTTCATTCATGAATCTCTTATTGCTTCAATCACATAATCACGTGAGATTAAATTAAACATCAATAATATGAAATCTCTTATATGACATCAAAATTGCCAATACATAAGAAAAAATTTCTTTCATCTTGCACAGTGCACAACGAATCCCGTTATCAGGGATATTATTGATTGATTGATTGATTATATGAATTTTGTTTCTCGATCACGAATTTCGTCACGTACATCGACTTCATCATTTTAAAAGTGATCACTTGCGGTGATATTTATAATGATAATGAATGTGATGTCATTATGACAATGAGATCTTGACATTTATAGTTTCTCCTTTGAAGTCAGGAAGCTTGATTCTCGTCGAGTGACAATGTAATTGGTTCATGTGATCTTAAAACACATGTCCCGGTGTGCATGCATGAAGGTTTATGTGGAACGATGGTCTTCTTCTTGTATCAAAGAAACACTTTTCGGAATTCTTTGTTTTTGCATTTTTCCATTTCGACTGGATAAAAGTCAACAACAACAATAATAATAAAAATAATAAAAAATAATAAAATAATAAAATAATAAAATAAAAAAAATAATCATAAATAATCATAATAGGCATAACAAGTATCATGGAAGTTCAAGATTTCAAAGGGGTAAATGTGAAATTGATGAGATGCTGGGAAATTTGCTCTTCGATATACTACCAAACATGGTATCGTGTTGACTTGCCAAGAACAAGGGTTCTATTAGTTCGTCAAAAGAATCATTCCGATGGCTAAATGTGTGTTAGCCAAAAATTCGAATGCAGTAGTATTTACGGATACAACCAATTTTCTTTTCCGGTTGAACCATCTCCACCCTTTTTTTTTTTTTACGCGCGCACTTTAACTCGGTGACAAGTAAATACGCCTCTGTCTCATTTTTAACAAAGATGAGCCGCGCCCGTGAAAATCCGTAAAATCAAGGGAGATTCTTTTTAAGCATCCGTCCCTACCTAGACATTTTCCTGTCACCTAGAGTATGTGTTGGATAAAGAAATCCATTTTTATTATGGTGCAATGACATAACTGAAAGAGAAAGAGAATAAAAGCACATCAAGGTTAACGATATTATTCTAATGTTTTGCGTAATAATGTATGCACCTAGATGCAGGGTCTCGAACAAAGATTGATTGGTATTCCTAACTCACTAATTCCAGTTCTCATGCGTCTATTGTGATGATATTATTCTAACATCAGTGTTACTACTGTATACACGATACGTCGGAGTCTCGGAAGTTAACGTTCTACCGTTACGTCTATTCTCGCCGGACGAACCATTCTCCATCAAATTATCGACGGGAGGGACAGAACAATATCATAATTGTATGCCATTTGCTCATCGCGGATGCATGAATTACTGAGAATTTATGCATTCCAATATGTACACATGCATGTACAATGTAGAAATTGAAGAGTTGACAACACCGTAAGTTACAGTATGTGCGTATGTATGTATGTACCCAGCGGAAAATTTATTTTATTCACATAGAACTCCTCTTCGACGACCTCCTTAAAGTTGCATGAAAAACCAATTTTTCACATACGAAGTAAAGTTAGATCGATGACTTGGCGATACATCGAAGATTATGCAACTCTGTGTGGTCTTCTGATTACGAACTATTATCGCAAATGGACGAGCACATAATGTTAGGAAAGAATTTCGTGTGAAACCTTATCTATTCTTAAATTAAAGGTCTCACGGATTCTATTCTTAACGCGAATTTCCATTTTCGACAATGATATGAAATTCCTATTTACCATATTTAACAGTGGTACCATTGATTGAACACAGACTTCCCACTTTTGACGGCGACGTTACTATTTGGGCACAATTATTGTGTAATTTTCCCTCGTGATATGCTAATGCATGTGGGAGTTAATAATAAGGCGTTCTGAGATTTTTTTGGTTGTCTATATTCTTGAAAAATGAGAAATACCTTCTTTTTCCTAATCCGCAAACGAACTTTTCTTCCCGCCCACTTTTTTTTGACTTGCGTTCACCTCATGTAATACCCATTCATCATTCATCCCTCAAATATTACCATATGCGTATCCAAGAATTGAACCTTAATGAGGCAACGTGCTCCAACTCTAGGGAATGCGGAATTTGCACGGAACCGTCGATGTGCTTGTCTCCATGTACTTTGTTGGTCACGTGAGATAGAGAGATATGTCACCCATCCTGATAATTTTTTATTGTTACTCTCCACCACAACACCGGTCATCAACTTGTGGTGATATTTGTTGGTCAATCTTACCAGGAACAGTTGTTACGTCCTTGCTTTGGTGATCGTTTATGGTGGGGCACTTTTTTTTCAGTTGAGAGTTGATTATCAAATGTTTATTTTTTTTCAATAATATTTATGTGATCTTAAACAAATAGTAATTAATTGATGTGGAGATTTTTGTCATATATCAAGAAAGACGTGATAAATTAAGTGATAAAAAAAAGATTGCGAAATTCGATCAGTCAAAAAGTCTAGAGGGGAATTTTCATTACACCGTCATAAAGTTGAACCTTCCATTGTTTTCGGATGCCCAAGTTCCTGTTTGATTATTCAATCATGGAATGGATGGTCTAGCTTAATCTCATTTCGTTCCTGAAATTTCTGGCGACAATAATAAACTAGGTCGAAATTGGACCGCCCTCAATTGCTACTCCTGAGACGAAATTCATTAAAGTATGATCGGGATCAAGAAAAGTGTCACAATGATGTCATTGCAATATAGATGGATGATGTAAAATCAAAATTTTTCGATTGAAATTACAATACTTTCCCTGATAGGATTTTGTCGATCGTCCATACAGTATATTTTCTTTTGATATCGATATTACGAAATCACGACAATCCTTTAATGATTTTCAGACAGAAAAAAATCGTACATATCTCCCCGGTAGAAAGTTTTTCCCATAAAAGTCTTGGTCTTTCACGTCATTGAAAAATACCCTATACAGCAATGCGACGACTTACAGTATGTAATACATGCATCCTTAAAAAATATTGATAGGTCTTTATTTTTTGAGCAGTGTGTGTCGGGTTTGAAGTTGAAACCGATATAATATGATTAATGCTAAATAGGGTGCGAAAGACGTAATGGATTTGCAATTTTAATTTTTTTTTTTTTTAAAAAAAAAAATGTATATATTTATTGTATATATACAGTAGATAATTTATTTTTATATACCGTATACAGTACAAGTTTAAAGAATTTCTCAAATTGGCATTCTTTTTTTTTTTTGCATTGTTGCACAAGGGGAGCTAGCTACTCGATGATGTAGGTAATAGCGTAACAAAAGCATAAATAGCAAAAATTAATCGGAGACAAACATTTTCAGATTAAAAAAGTGTGCTAATTTAAATTTTTTAAATTAAATCGTAATCATATTAACGATAATAATAATAATAATAATAATAATACTAATAATAAGAAATTTAGATGGTTTATTAATGATACCAATAATAAGAAATTATCATTATTATACTGTATATGAATTTTATCAACAAACTTATCAATAAGTTTGTCGATACTATACACGAATTCCGTTATACTGTATGACTCGTTTGTTTCGGATTATAACCGATGATATATACGCTTTATTATCTCTGTCGACACGAATGAATACGTTTCATATAATGTATGATAGATAGTGCATCGTATTATTAGATTCTGATTTCATATCATCATCTTGCACAATCTAATGATAATTAAATATGAACTTGCCGATAACTATAAACATACTGTATATACTGTACTTTATATACAGCGGATGCCGCATGTACAGTCAGTATAACCAAGAATCTTGGAAATTTGTGATCATTGTTTTTTTCCATTTTCATAAGAAATTATAAGATTCTTGAAAAGATATACCGTATATGTATGTACAGTATATTATTATTATTTTTTATTACTAGTGTCTTTTTCTTTACTTTCTAATTTTAAATCCAATAAAGCAAGACATCTCATGTTTACGCCAAAAGAATCATAAAATTGTCGAATCGATATGCTAAAAAAAAATATATTATTATTTATGATAAATGAAATACCGTATATCTGAATATACTGTATATAATTAAATAATATAGTGATAGTCAAAATAGTATATAATATTTAAAGTTGAAAAAAAAAAAAACTCTTATTTATAATAAATTATATACAGTTTATATAACCATGTATTATAAATAAAAACAAATTTCTATTTATATTTAGACAATACATACAGCACATACTCAATTATATTAATGATATAAAGAATATGCTGTAGTCAATGTGATCAATGTGATCAATGTAATCAATGAAGTCAAAGATATTATTAAATCTTAATCACATGACTTACCTCCGGTCCTGCGTAAGACCACCCTCATTTATTAACTACTGTTGGAATGTTTGATCGTCGGTCTTTTTTTATGATTTTTCATGTTTTTGCAGTATGTTTGAATGTTGAATGACTGTTTCATTTACCCCAGGATTCCGGAATTCCTTTTTTTAACGGTTTTCCTTATGAAGTTATTCTGTGGTAGCGGTTTAAGCCGTATAAGTAGTTCGCCAATGAAATGAAATTACTAAGCATACCTCTCATTCCTGATCTTGACCTAGAGGTTCACCTAATTATTGTGACACATTAACTGCATCAAGAACTTCTTCATCGTTTTAAGGTGGAGAGCATTAGGCGTTTGTTATTCGTACGCTTTCGAAACTCGTCTTTACTTTACATACGTATTATCATAAAGACAAGCTCCTTGTATCACCGAAATCCGAAATCTGTTGTGCATTTTTTTTTCTTTTTTTTTTTGCAAGTTTATCATCGCCTTTGATGAGTGTCAACTTGTGAAGGTATCTGTCGCCGTCCTTAATTATGATCTTTACTTTATAAAGTATCATTGATGCGTGATTATATTGTGCGTTTTTCTCCCACGCTAGGCTGATTTCATTAAGCGGAGAGGAAACTTAAACAAAGGGTAGGTTATATGTTACATAAACCAAACGGGGAAACCATTTTTTTAATAAAAAATATAATCATCGCGATGCATTTGTAGACCAATGCACAGCAATTCCCAAGGTTTGTATGTCCACCGTGCAAGTTCTCCGCAAATTCCCAAGTATAGGATATCGATAAGGTGATAAGGCCTAACATGGATGATAGGAGTCGATTTAGGCATCTTCGGCGGAATGATTTCCGAGAAAAAACTTAGTCATTTATCTGAACATTTTGGCAATCAATCAAGGGGACTTCAAAAAGTAACACACCGCCTTTCCGATATTTTTCGAGGTGGTGAGTCACGTGGAATTGGCGATGGTCGAGAGTTTGCCAGCGCGCATACATACAATTCACGTTTTCTCACCTAACATCATCATTTATGCGTAAGCACTGAACACAAGAAAAAAATTGAATGCGAAATGAAGAGAACATAGCATCCGGAGAAAACTTCGCTATACTTTATCGCGCGATGAAAAATCGTGCACGAATGACGCCAATAGTAAATAATCACTGCACTCCAAAAGACATGCGTAGGTGTTTGCACGCAGTACAACTGTAACAAGAGGTATTCTGTTTCTTGTTTCTCCTACGAACATCAATAATCCTCTAATGGATACAAATTCGTGAAGATCTGGTGATACGGTCCTATTGAAGGTTTCAATGTTTACAAACAAGCAATCGTGACTACCAACAACTACCAACAAAAAATATTCTCATAAATCACAGCATCATACCTATTGTTTGCTTGGGCCACAATTTTGTTTTTCTTTGTAACCCATTGGCGTTTGTTTTCAATCTTTCTTTAGACCACTTCAATCCAAATTGGAATCTCTTAATTATCAACAAATGAATTTACTAGATACGGTGATTGATGAATAGAATGGAAGATAGATCGTGGAGAAAGCATGCAATAAATGAAAATGTTAATTTTGTAATTTTATTTTGAAACGAGAAAACGCACATCATTTCAGATGGGCATACACACACTGTATGCAATATTGCTTTAATTGCGCCAGTCAATGTACACGTCGTAGAATCCATTGAATCTTTTTGTTCAATTTCTTTTTCTTTTTCTTTATTTTTTTTATTCCGCCATAATTCCGTGCATATTACTAATTTGTGATACAGGGGGAGGTAACACAGCTAGGATACTTTATAGAAAAAAATTTTGGCGCAGGAGTCACTGAATACGAATTGAGAACGTATGATGATAGTTGGGTGATAAAACTTATCACTTGAATATAACATGCGTCACTTCCCAATTGCCGAAATTTTCATTAAGCTGCGAACAAATGATACATGATACAATAGCGATAGCTGATTGATAATAACGATGACAAAATTGGGCTCATGTACATCAATGGAAAAACAAGTTTGAGCCCGATGACTCCACAGGGGGTAAAAAGCGTAAAGTAACGTTGGTGCAGATCTGTGGATTCCACGATTACACTTTTGTTGACCGAAAGACTGTTTGCACAAAGGGGTTGATAAGTGAGCTGAGCTGCAAACTTGCAAATGATGAATTTTTAAAATTATTAATAATGCGATATGATCTCAGTTGAATGTTTTGAGTTAATGCAGAAATTAAAAATGCGTGATTCTCAACAGAGAATAAAGGCATGCTTATCTAAGCATTGACAAGAAAATTTCGAAAACGAGAAATGCGACGTGAATTATACTTGATTTCCATCTCATGAATTTTCGCGTTTACTCAATTACACTTGCTACTATCGCAATACCTCCCGTTTCCAACCGTCTTACCTCTTACCCTTTTCCATTACAATTTATGATATTGTCGTATGTAAAAATAAAATAAAAATAACAATATAATTAATCTATTTATAATCAATGCCTTTATAAGTTTTAATTATATGTCCTGTTCACCAAAGAAACGAGATTTTCATCCGAGATTGGCTTTATCAGCCGAATATTCCTTGCATTTGGAATATGGGTGAGAATCAGTGATATGATATGCAATTCGCGATACACAATAAAGAACTGGTGAGTATGGTACGACATAATAGGTCTCAAATATAAAATAATACTCTGATTCTTATCATCTCTGAAACTTTGCATTCGATACACCATAATAAATTTCGCTCGTTCACGTCAGCCGTGTGATGTTTCAATTACATGATGGTGACTCGTGTCAAGTGAAAATTCACGTTGCATCCTAATGAGTCACGCGACACAAGCAGTCGCACGCGGTCCAAGAATTTTGGTCATGCCCTGAACGCAAGCTTCATTGTCCTTTCTATGAAATTCATTGCATCATGGTGATTCATTGTCTCATTGTTTTTACCTACACTTATTATTTCTCAGACAAGAACTCATCGATTCCCGATGCGAATTAACCATGCGCACCTACGTTCACCTTATTTTCTCAAACGCCTGTTAACAAATTCTACGCATTCTTTCCCGAATTCTATTAAGATTTTAATGGGTGGCTAAAAATAAACCATGTAACAATATTTTTTTTAACCCCAGAGTTGTGTACACATGCTCGGAATTATTTTCCGAATGCCGCGAAATATCCCGATCATACATTCGTTGCTGCTCAGGATTTTTTTTTTTTATATTTTTTTTTACAGATGTCATATTTGAATAAATTATTATTGCTTCAATAAAAATATAAAAAAAAGACGAATTTAGACTATCAAAAAAATTGTAACATCTTTGAGGTTTAGAGAGTATCCCGTTATGGTAATATTAAATAGCTAATGTAAAAAAGTATGGTGATCGTTTTAAACAGACTAATTACTTTTTACGCACAGTTTTCATGTAGTCACCAGAGATCCTTGTGTATATCCACAGCATCGCTTATCAGAAATGCATTCTATCGATAATTCGAATCATACTTTATTTTTTCACAAGAAATTATGCATGTAATAATTTTGTTTAGTATCATCAAAATAAGTAACAAGGTTATTTTTGAAAAAATTGTTTCTTCATACCAATCATATGATCAATACCTTTGTCGTTACTTTCCAAAACCATGATGACATATGCACACTGTATATTGTATAAAAAATGGAATTCCATAGATGTCATGTCTCACTATTGTTTTTTTTTTTTTGCAAGTTATTGTGAAAATAAAAGAAATCCTAGAAATTCTGATCGATATGAAATAAACAAATAAAAATTAATGATAAAATTAGAACTTAAAAAAAAAAGGACTATCTGTTTTATGTAATTCGCTTTGGAATGTGACTAGTAATCATAAAATTTAGCATACGCGATTGACCAATACAAATATATACAGTATTTAAAAAGTTCAACTTAAAAAAATTACAAATTTATATCTTTATTCATACTGATTTAAAAATAAAAAGTCATGAGACAATCGATATTACACAATAGAAAAGTGTATTTTTAAAATATATATACTGTATATATATATATAAGGATGCTGTATACGGTAATACATAATATTGCATGTTTTTGATTTTTCAAAAAATATTAATGTTATATTACTGTATATTAGATTATAACAAGGTTTTCTAAATTTATATTTTAAAAATACAATACGAATGAAAAACCCAATTTTTAACCAAAAACAACTTATTATTATCTATAGAATATTATAATAGACGTATTTTTTAAGAATATGATAAAAAATGAGAAAAAAATTTTTAATTTAAATTAAAATATATCAATACTGTATATATTGTATTATAATTTTCTATTTGATTTCATTTACTTATTTGTTTATTTATTTATTTATTACTTTTAATTAACTGTTAAATTATAATTTAAATACATTTATTAATTTTTGATATTTAAATTATATTTTTTGTTTTTAATTTAAAAATCTATTTTTAATTATATATTTAAAATAATAATAATAAAATTTGAAAAAAAATAATAAAACACTTTTATTGATCCTTTTACAAATCCAGAAAACAATATTCTCAAAAGATTTTTATTTCTTTATAATAATAAAGTTTATATACTTTCTTTAACAATATTAATCACTAGTCAAAATTTGATCATTTGGTATGTCAAATTATTGCTGAATTTTTAAATTTTTATAATTAAATTTAAATCGAATTTATGTCATTTGATGCCACTCGACATGAAATCAAATATAAATATTTGTTAAACATTCATTAATAGTTTGACTATAATATTATAACATTTAACAATATAAATACAAATATTTGATAAATAACTTAATTATAATTTAACATATTTTATATTTGAATTTTTATATATATATTAACAATTAATTTTATTATTTAAAAATAAAAATAATTAATAAAATTTAACAATTATTCATAATTATAAT